AGATTTGTGTGATCTTTAAAAAAATACGATGAATGTGATAAATCCTAATTATGATGGTAGCTTTAATCCATCGACGGGGATGGCGAGTGCGGGTGGCGTCGTTCGTGATCACTATGGCAATTTGATTCGTGGCTTTGTGATGAATATTGGATTTGTTCGATTATGGGTGTCGAATTATGGGGCTTATTTCAGGGTTTGAAGTTGGCTTGGGATATTGGAGCTCGTAATATCATGGTGGAGGTCGATAATCAAAGCATCGTCGCGATGGTACACCAAGATGACACTAACGGGCCACATGGGAGCATTTTGAAAGGCATTAAGTATCTGTTGTGTCGCCCATGGAGTGTGACGCTTGCTCATGGCTATCGTGAGGCTAACTGTGTGGCGGACTATTTGGCGTCGTTGGCGGCTAAGGGACCGGGTGGTTTGCATATACTAGAGCGTCCTCCTCCGGGGGCGTGCTTATGGTTACAACATGATATCACAGGCATGTCTTATTCTCGTCGGGTCTTGACATAGCTGTGATATAGGCTTTGCCTCCTTTCTTGTACTAAAAAAAAAAAAAAATTGATAATGAAAAAGAGATTAATGGGAGGCAGTAATATATAGTGGAAAAATTATTTATGGCACTTTTTAAACCAATGTTGTTTCCAAATTTTTTATCCGAACCTAATTACAAAAAAAGATATTGTGACATGTAGGATTCCAAATCGTTCATGTAGTATTTCAAACCGTGCGAGCCTACAACTTAGCCTCATCACGTTTTGAACTAATATATAAAGAGAATTTTAAGGGGGACAAAGTACTTAAATATACATAATATTATATATTATACATACATAGAACTTAACAAAAAATGTTTGTGGGGGACCATGGCCCTCCCTAGCTTATATGTACATCCGCCTCTAGTCACATTTCTTTCTTAGAGATGGAACATCTCTTCCTTATACCCCCAATATATGTTCCTTACTATCATTGGGATGATGCACTCTTCACTACTAGCTTTTTTATAAACAAATTACCCTACAAAATCATTGATAAATCACTATTGGAGTTGTTGACAAGACAGAAACCAGACTAGTAGTAATCTCTTATTTACGGAAATAAATTATTTTACAAAAGCTAATTTTTACGTAATGTCTAATTAATATTTTGTAAAATATTAATTAAATGGGTGATGAATTGCATTGCTGGTCCTACCTTTTCTTTTAATCTGAATGGTTCAGTGTGTGGCTTTGTAAAATCATCTAGGGGGATCAAACAGGGTGATCCCTTGTCCCCTTACCTGTTCTTGTTGGTGTCTGAGATATTTTCAGCTGCTTTGAGTCAGAAAGTGGCCTCAGGTGTTTTCAGAGGGATTAAAATTTGTAAAGAGGGTCCAATGATATCCCACTTGTTGTTTGCGGATGATGCCTTAATCTTCTGCAAGGCTGATAAAGCTCATGCAGAATTGCTGTTGGAAATTCTCTCTAAATATCAAATCTTCACTGGGCAGAAAGTTAACATGCATAAATCCTCTATGTTTTTGAGTAAGAATGGATCTGCTGATTTGGGCTCCAGTCTTTCTATGATCTTTGCTGGGGTGAAAGTTAATAGATCCTCCAAATACCTTGGTCCTCCTCTTGGAATTGGAGCTTCCAAAATAGCCACCTTTCAGTTTGTTGTTGAAGTGGTCAGATCTAGAATCAATAGCTGGAAGAACCAATTTTTATCTACTGCAGGTAAAGAAGTGTTGATTAAAAGTGTCCTTTCTGCATTGCCTGTCTTTGTAATGTCATGTTTTATCCTGCCCACTAGTGTTTGTAAAGAAGTGTGCAGATTACTGTCTAACTTTTGGTCGAAGAAAGATGGGAACAGTGATCAGGGAATGCATTGGATTGCTTGGGATAAGCTTTCTCTCCCTAAACTTGAAGGTGGGCTTGGCTTTAAAGATTTGAAGTTATTTAATAAAGCTCTGATCATGAAACAACTTTGGAGAATTTTTGATCAACCTGAATTGCTTATGAGTAAGCTCCTCAAGCAGAGATACTTCAAAAATTGATCTATGTTTGAGTGGAAGAACACTGGTGGGTCCTCATGGCTCTGGTCTTCATGGGCTGCTTTCCTCCCTGATCTTCAAAGGCTAGTGAAAATCACTATCAGAAATGGGGAAAACACATCTCTTAATGAGGTGAATTGGGTGCCTGATATAAAAAGTCCCTCACCTGAACTCAGAGTGGAGATTGAGGCACAAGTTTAAAGTTAAGGATCTTCTAATGGCAGGTGGTAGTCAGTGGGATTTTTCTCTGGTTAAAGCTTTGTTTCATCATGAGGCTGCTGACAAAATCCTTTCAATCAAATCCCTTAATCCAAAAATGGCTGACAAGAAACAATGTGAGATGGTGGTGAACGGCAGATTCTCAGTGCATAAAACATATGGGAAATTACTTGTTGAGAGATTAGGAAGAAGTCCTGTTGCAGAGAATAGTGTCCTAGTGGTAACAGAAGAGCTAGGAAAAGAATTTGGGAGCTGAAGGTGATGGGGAAAATTAAGCACTTTATTTGGCAAGCTGTTTCTAACATTCTTCCTGTTAGCACAAATCTATTGAAGAGGGGAATGAAAGTTGCTGATCTATGTC